ACAACAACAAACTTGAGTAAACAAACTTACAATAACAACAACACATATACAGGCGAGGGAATAACAAAGAAAGAGGAATGACGTTTAACAAGAATTGTATGACAATAACAAAATAGAAAATGAAAGAGGAAATGGAAGGATGTAGAAAAATCTATACAGTGGTTGTTGTTGTGAAGTTATTCAAATAAACTGCGTAGTAGAAATTTACGTTACAATTCAAATTCTTAAATTAACGGAATTCATCTAAATTAACTTAAATCTAAAGTTATATTCGTAACAATATATTCACTACTTATTTCAATGAACTTAATAAAAATCTGGATACTATGAAGAGACTATGACGACCGCGAAAATGAAAATCGGTTCAGTTTTCGATATATGTTCGACCGATTTAATTTAAATGGTGTAGCAAAGTCCCTATATATCTTTCGATTTTGAATAAATTTGGCATAGCATAATGAATTGAGTCTAGAATGATATGTGCTAAGTTTCGAGAAAATCGATTCAGATTTAGATATAGCTCTCATATATAGTTTTGTCAGATTTTATGTAGAAGGTGCACCAAAGCCCCCCATTCTCGGTGTCATATTTTTTTTAATTCGAATCTACTCTTGATATAGCCGATTTATTGTGTCAGCATCAAGTGACGGCAAGAGTGATTCTCAAACGCATTTTTCTCGAAGCAGAGTTTTGAGAATGGCGGGCACGATAGCTCATAAACTAATAATCCAATCGGTTTGTTAGTACCCAATTAATAATAATGAAACATTTTTTATACTTTTTTGTTGGTTTATAATTAATTTATTGCTGATTTATTGCCATAAATGAGTTTTATTTTTAATCACTTAATAATTTTGTGTAATTTTATTTTTTTGGGAAGATTTTTTTTCTTTTGAGGAGGAAATAAAAATTTTGAAGTGACGGAGGATATTTTAGGCATAACAAAAAAAGGAAAAATTGAAAACTAGTGAGCCGAGCAGTATAGTCGAACGGGGCCGACCATATGATACCCTACACAACTTCAGCGGAAATTTGATTTCTTGTAGTTCTATATTCTGAGCTTGAGCAATATTTCGCAATATTTAAACCCTCTTGGTCGACTAGAGGTCAAAAAATATTACAAATATTCAGTACAGCCCTTCTAATCGCTTGTCCAGATTCCCTTCACCGTGGGTTGTGTTGTGCTATTCGACCTGTGGCCTATAGATCGACTCGTAAAAAACACAAAAAATTATGTTTTCGGTCCACGTCAGCCCAAAATTATTATCTGATCATCACCGAAAATTAATCGCTATAGAACAAACATTTTGTCATTTTTCACACAAAAGTCAGGGTCTATTTGACCCGCTAAATATTGAGCGATCTTTATCAAATCGGGCATGTTTATTCTTTGCCCCGATCCCATTCTCCGAGTAAAAATTCGCAATGTTGGGATCAGAATTGCGGCCTCTGGAGCGACCAGAAAACCGACAAAAATAAAGTATTTGGTCCATTTCATCCCCTAAATATTAACCGATCTTTACCAAAAACAACAACATGCAAAATTTCGTGAAGATTGGTCCATAACTGTGGCTTGTATCGTGTTTACAAATTATAATGGATAGACGGACACACATGTCTAGATCGACTCAGCTAGTCGAGATATGACGATCGCTATACTTAAAGGAGGGTCTATGACCAACATTTCGCGGTGTTACAAACTCTTGGGGCTGCACAAAGCTATAATACCCTGAACGCATTGTTCTTTTTGTATTCATGGGTCATTATTTGAATACACATCATAATTTTCAGGCATCCACATCAACGAGAAATAAACATATTGCAAACAAATTAAAAATTTATAAACATTTTAAAAAAATTGGAAAAATTTCTTCAGTTCAACCATTAGATCCCAATCAGCCTTAATTAAATCATCACGGAAACATTTTTGGTGATTCACCGGGTAAGGGTTCACTTTTAACCCAAATCTCTTGACCTTTGCCATTTTCGACCATTACACCCATGACAACGGGGTCACGACTTTTAAAGATGAACTGTGGCAGGGGAACACGGCAATTGATTTAAATAACTTCACTTTGGTTACCATATTTTTCAAAATAATTAACATTAGGTTCGTTCGTTTACTCAATAATTTGTACGAATTTGTACAAATTATTACAAAATGTTGTTCGTTTACCCAAAATTCCAGTAAAAGAGAGTGAATTGAGAGAGCAGATTTGACAGTTGTGTTACTGAGTATTTGCAAATTCTTACAAAGAAAAGAAGAATTTTCTTGTACCATCAGCTGATATTTAATCAGCTGTTTTGTTATGTTTTGTAAACAAACAAAAAATTGTTCTCAAGAAAATTGATTGTTTTGTGAATTTTATTATGATTTTGTATCATTAAATACCAAAATGGATGAAGAAAACGCAAGTATTTAAAAATAAGGTAATACAAGAGTAATTGGCGAACGATTTTTTAGGTTCAAAAACCAAACAAAAAAGTGTGCATCCCTAACATGTCTGGAACACCATCGGTTATGTCCACCCCCATATCAATTGCAGATACAGGAATAACAGGTCGCAACCCTTTAAAATGTTTGTGGGGAACAAACAACATCAATTTTCCGCTTGTTATCCATTTTTCTAATAAAAATGCTGCTTTTTAGTTTGCGCGAATTTGTTTGTTGTTTTAATCAGCTGTGTCGAAACTATATTTTACTGGATGTTGTTCGTTTACTTTTTGCAGTTTTCTCTCTTGAGAAGGAAAAATTCGTATTTACTCTCTGCAAATTCTTACTGAGTAAATATTACTGGGAAAGTAAACGAACGAACCTATTGCTGTTAAGTATTTTTTGGTACATTGCAAAATACTGTTACATTGCAAAATACTGTTACTATTGCTGTTAAGTATGTTAAGTATTGCTGTTAAGTACATTTTCCATAAAATGTGTAGCCCTCTATAGCACAAATTTGACACTAATATTGGAAACTGCGTCTTGTCAAGTCTTTACGATTGTAACGATTGTATGTCTCTGATTTGCTTTGCCTAAACCTCATTCGTAAACAACACGGTTTCCATTTAGTCTCTATCCCACCTCATTCGTAAACTTTCGGTTATACCATTTTGAGTTCATCTTTATCGGCCATTTTGTCTTCTCCTCCCATTCGTTAGCAGGTGGAACGTTTTTCAATTTTTTCAGTCGTCGTTTTTATTTTAGCTCCGTTCCAAAACCTAAAAGAATCTACTAATTTTACAAGTTTTGCAACTTTTTACTCGAAACCCGTTCCTGAACCCATAAAACTGGTAAAGCATTGAATCAAATTTAAGAGAGCACAAAACAAAATGGCTTTCTCTTTGTAAACTTTTTGTTATGTTGATTTTGAAGTATTGCCATCTAATTTTGGCATATTTACTAGATTTGCATTCCCGAACTTTTCAAATTATTTTGTACTCTGAGACTTGAAATGTTTCCCTTTTACTAGCTTTACTATTAAACAAGTGAAAAAGCGTTAAGTTCGGCCGGGCCGAACTTTGGATACCCTCCACCACAGGTATACTGACAGGTATTTGAAATGAAAAAGTGGACCGATATTTATAATTTTAAATAGAGATATTTGGTACCCAATATGAACCCACTGTACCAAATTTCAGCGAATTCGGTTGAAAATCGCGCTTAAGAACCTCAAAATACCGAAAATTTGGGGTGCCCTTATATGGGGGCTACCAGAAAAAGTGGGCCGATATTTATAATTTTTAGTAGAGATATTTGGTACGCAATATGAACCCAATGTACAAAATTGCAGCGAATTCGGTTGAAAAGCGCGCTCAAGAACCCCAAAATACCGAAATTGGGGGGTACCCTTATATGGGGGATATCCGAAAAAATTGACCTATATTTAAATTTTTTTGTGGAGAGATTTGGTACCTGCTAAGAACTCAAAATACTAAATTACAGCCAATTCGGTGAAAAATACGATAAAAACCCAAAAAATACTGAAAATTAGGAGGTACCGTTATATGGGGGCTACAAGAAAAAGTGGACCTATATTTATAATTTTTTGTGGATACATTTACTACAAATTCGCTTGAAAAACGCGCTCAAGAACCCCAAATACCGAAAATTGGGGGGTACCCTTATATGGGAGCTATGCCTAAACGTGGACCGATATATCCCATCTTCAAACTTGACCTGCCTGCAGACAAAAGACAACCCTATGCAAAATTTCAGCACCCTATCTCAATTCCTTCAGAAGATAGCGTGATTACAACAGACGGACGGACATGGCTAGATCGTCTTAGAATTTTACCCTGATCAAGAATATATATACTTTATAGGGTCGGAAATGAATATTTCGATGAGTTACAAACGGAATGACAAAATTAATATACCCTCCATACTATGGTGGAGGGTATAAAAAGTACTGGAACAGACCATTTGTTGGCGAAGGTTTGCGTACGACGTCGCTTGATTCTTGGCAGAACGACGATTAACAAGCGAATTTTATGAAGGCTGGAGTCTTGGAGGCTTCCCACTGTTCTTTTGAATCTCTCTCTCTTTTATTATTTTTTTTTTTTTCGTTTTTCCATATATAGTTCCTTTGCTCCAAATAGTTCCTTTGCTCCATATAGTTCCTTTGCTCCAAATAGTACCTTTGCTCCATATAGTTCCTTTGCTCTTTATAGTTCCTTTGCTCCATACAGTTCCTTTGCTTCAAATAGTTCAAAAAAGGAACTGGATCAGAGAAAGGAATTATATTAATTAAAGAACTGGAACTAGTTCCGTTCGTTCCTTTCTCGGAATAGTTCCAATGAACTAGTTCGTTGCGGAACTACCCAACTCTATTGTTTTTGCTTACACGTGCTCAACAAATACAAAATAGAAACAAGCATTTACGAGGCACGGAGATAAATAATAAATTAACAATGGCAAGTTGAAGTTAAATTATATTTTATTCGCTTATAATCCGGAATGTTATTTACAGGTCAAGGTAAACGATTTACCTGGTTTTCCATCTATGGATGGTGGAGGGAATGGCGAAGGTAGTGATCTTCTGAAATCGAAGCCTTCTGCGAAGGCGAAGAAGAGTGGAGGCTTCCAATCGATGGGGCTAAGCTATGAAGTGATAAAAGGCATAACGAAGCGGGGCTACAAAGTCCCTACACCTATTCAACGCAAAACCATTCCATTGATTTTGGAAGGCAGAGATGTGGTTGCCATGGCCAAGACCGGATCCGGTAAAACGGCTTGTTTCCTGATACCTTTATTCGAACGTTTGAAGAGGAGAGATCCGACAAAGGGGGCCAGGGCTTTGATTTTATCACCTACACGTGAATTGGCTGTCCAAACGTACAAATTTATTAAAGAGTTGGGGAAGTTCATGGATTTGAAAACGATTTTGGTTTTGGGCGGTGATTCTATGGATTCACAATTTTCAGCCATACACACGTGTCCAGATGTAATAGTTGCGACGCCTGGAAGATTCCTTCATTTGTGTGTTGAAATGGATTTAAAATTGAGCTCCGTGGGTAGGTTAAATGCACATAAGCAAAATGAATTTAGTTGGGAATTTATGTAGAGTTGATCGATTTGTTTCATTTCAGAATACATTGTTTTTGACGAGGCTGATCGTCTGTTTGAAATGGGATTTGGTGAACAATTAAATGAGACTCTGCACCGCTTGCCCCAGTCCAGACAAATGGTTCTGTTTTCTGCAACTTTACCAAAACTTTTAGTTGATTTTGCCCGAGCTGGCTTAAGCGATCCGGTACTAATACGTTTAGGTATGTCCTGTTGTTCTCAATTGTGAGTAGAATGTTAATTGCTATATATTTTTGTAGATGTGGAATCCAAGCTGCCCGATGCCTTAAGTCTAAAATTTGTGTATTGTCGTTCTGATGACTATGCTATGCTATGCCAAGATGTCCTCCACTTGGCCCATCGTGAAACTCCGACAAGACATCTCTTATTTTGGAATCTGGGACGACGATCAAGTTCCGGTGAGATTTACCGTCCCCACTTTCCCATTTGCGATATAGGCAACCATCTTTTATAAGCAGACTGTCCCACTGGGCCCAATAGGATTTTAAAAGAAGGCTTTCGGAGGTAATTTCTTTGCGACTAGGTCGCTTGCCCGTTTCTATGGCCGAAATTATTTTGCCCAGAATGGGATCCCCTCGTTGTTCCGTCGACCAATCTTCTCCCGACTCAAACTGCAATCGTCGGACATCCACGATATTCTCTTTGCACTCAGCCTTTGAGCATTGGCTGTATTCTACCTTGCATGGCCGACGAGACAGGGCATCAGCATTACCGTGTTTTCCGCCTTCTCTGTGCTCGATTCGGTTTAACGGTGACTCATTGGTGGAATGTTGAGCCATTCTTCTACCATCTTTCGTTGGAGGTGGTGACGATGACCTGGATCGTTTGCGCTTAGCTCTGCATTCGCGCGCAATATGACCTGCTTTATCGCAGTTGTAGCATCTAACCCTGGGCTTAGTCATCCCTACTAACTTTGTTTCTTCTATTATCCGCCTCATGGCGTCCTTGATCAAGTTAACGAGAGATTTGTGTTCGCAACATTCGGTCTCCAGTTGGCTAATCTTGTGGGTCTGGGGCTTAACAACTATTCTTGCCGTCTCTTGGGCAAGGGCAAACGACACAGTTTCGGCAAACGACGCTTTTGGTGACGCATATGTTGCACATTTAATCTCAGGGTCACGTATGCCATTCACAAAGGTTTCGATTTTCATACGGTCCAGCAATGGGTGATTCTCTCCTGGATACGCCATTAGCACCAAACGTTCCACCTCAGCTGCAAAGTCTTGCAACGTCTCGTTTGCCCTCTGCACTCTTCCCCTTAATTCCATAAGGTAGATGTTTTGTTTATGTTCGCCACCGTACTTACGTTCCAGTGCAGCAATAACATCTTCATAGTTGTTTCTAGAAGCGACAGGAATACTCTGTATAACATCAGCAGCACTGCCCTTCAATGCCAGAAGTAGTGCAACCGCTTTGTCGCTGTCGTTCCACGAATTTCTAGAAGCCACTGTCTCGAACTGTAACTTGAAAACATTGAATGACGTAGAGCCGTCGAATACAGGAGGTTTGATTTTTAGTGTGTTATCAGGAACTCGCACCGGACCACCCTTAATTTCCAGTTCTGATATTTTCTTCTCCAGATTCGTAACCCTGTGGTCGTGGACCAGAAATTTCTCATCCACAGACAGAATCTTCTCGTCAACCGACTGCACTTTCTTATCCAACTCTTTTATTTGGACCTCCACGGTTTCCACTCTCCTTCCAATAACTTCTGTAATGTTCTCGAGTTTATCCATCATTCTTCTCGAATTTTCCTCGCTCCTTCTGTAATTTTCCTCAAACATTTTAGCCAGCATTTCTCTTAAATCGTCACCCCTGGCAGCTACTGACGAGGCTTCCCCACCGTTGGATTCGCTAATTTCCGATAAATCCACTTCATCCTTACTGTCAAACTCATATGTATCGATGTTCATACCACGGCGCCCGAACTCATCCAACAGACGTTTTTGTAGCTCAGCCTTGTTGCCAGTAGAGGACAATTCCAATTTATTGAGCTCCTTCTTCAAGTCTTCCACTCGTAGATCCTTGAACTTCATCGTAGTATTATCGTAATCTCACTTCCGACACCAATTGTTACGTTCTTGGATTTTACTAAATCCCGTGTAGACGTTGTTTTATTTCCCGATACAATTCGTACCAAATAAAACGCGGGTTCTTTCAGATTACGATTATTACAATGACTTTATTCACACAACTTTACTTTGCACTTTACTTTACACGACGGTTTCAATTCGCGATCTGATTCACAACTGACTCACTGCCTTTCCATTCCCTCTATTTATATGAGCCCTGCCTGTCGCTACAGAAGTTTCTAGACGATCTGGTAACACCTAGATCACGAACAATCTACCAATGCAACAAACACATTGAGTAACAATAACAACAACAAACTTACTGAGTGAACAATAACAACAACAACAAACTTGAGTAAACAAACTTACAATAACAACAACACATATACAGGCGAGGGAATAACAAAGAAAGAGGAATGACGTTTAACAAGAATTGTATGACAATAACAAAATAGAAAATGAAAGAGGAAATGGAAGGATGTAGAAAAATCTATACAGTGGTTGTTGTTGTGAAGTTATTCAAATAAACTGCGTAGTAGAAATTTACGTTACAATTCAAATTCTTAAATTAACGGAATTCATCTAAATTAACTTAAATCTAAAGTTATATTCGTAACAATATATTCACTACTTATTTCAATGAACTTAATAAAAATCTGGATACTATGAAGAGACTATGACGACCGCGAAAATGAAAATCGGTTCAGTTTTCGATATATGTTCGACCGATTTAATTTAAATGGTGTAGCAAAGTCCCTATATATCTTTCGATTTTGAATAAATTTGGCATAGCATAATGAATTGAGTCTAGAATGATATGTGCTAAGTTTCGAGAAAATCGATTCAGATTTAGATATAGCTCTCATATATAGTTTTGTCAGATTTTATGTAGAAGGTGCACCAAAGCCCCCCATTCTCGGTGTCATATTTTTTTTAATTCGAATCTACTCTTGATATAGCCGATTTATTGTGTCAGCATCAAGTGACGGCAAGAGTGATTCTCAAACGCATTTTTCTCGAAGCAGAGTTTTGAGAATGGCGGGCACGATAGCTCATAAACTAATAATCCAATCGGTTTGTTAGTACCCAATTAATAATAATGAAACATTTTTTATACTTTTTTGTTGGTTTATAATTAATTTATTGCTGATTTATTGCCATAAATGAGTTTTATTTTTAATCACTTAATAATTTTGTGTAATTTTATTTTTTTGGGAAGATTTTTTTTCTTTTGAGGAGGAAATAAAAATTTTGAAGTGACGGAGGATATTTTAGGCATAACAAAAAAAGGAAAAATTGAAAACTAGTGAGCCGAGCAGTATAGTCGAACGGGGCCGACCATATGATACCCTACACAACTTCAGCGGAAATTTGATTTCTTGTAGTTCTATATTCTGAGCTTGAGCAATATTTCGCAATATTTAAACCCTCTTGGTCGACTAGAGGTCAAAAAATATTACAAATATTCAGTACAGCCCTTCTAATCGCTTGTCCAGATTCCCTTCACCGTGGGTTGTGTTGTGCTATTCGACCTGTGGCCTATAGATCGACTCGTAAAAAACACAAAAAATTATGTTTTCGGTCCACGTCAGCCCAAAATTATTATCTGATCATCACCGAAAATTAATCGCTATAGAACAAACATTTTGTCATTTTTCACACAAAAGTCAGGGTCTATTTGACCCGCTAAATATTGAGCGATCTTTATCAAATCGGGCATGTTTATTCTTTGCCCCGATCCCATTCTCCGAGTAAAAATTCGCAATGTTGGGATCAGAATTGCGGCCTCTGGAGCGACCAGAAAACCGACAAAAATAAAGTATTTGGTCCATTTCATCCCCTAAATATTAACCGATCTTTACCAAAAACAACAACATGCAAAATTTCGTGAAGATTGGTCCATAACTGTGGCTTGTATCGTGTTTACAAATTATAATGGATAGACGGACACACATGTCTAGATCGACTCAGCTAGTCGAGATATGACGATCGCTATACTTAAAGGAGGGTCTATGACCAACATTTCGCGGTGTTACAAACTCTTGGGGCTGCACAAAGCTATAATACCCTGAACGCATTGTTCTTTTTGTATTCATGGGTCATTATTTGAATACACATCATAATTTTCAGGCATCCACATCAACGAGAAATAAACATATTGCAAACAAATTAAAAATTTATAAACATTTTAAAAAAATTGGAAAAATTTCTTCAGTTCAACCATTAGATCCCAATCAGCCTTAATTAAATCATCACGGAAACATTTTTGGTGATTCACCGGGTAAGGGTTCACTTTTAACCCAAATCTCTTGACCTTTGCCATTTTCGACCATTACACCCATGACAACGGGGTCACGACTTTTAAAGATGAACTGTGGCAGGGGAACACGGCAATTGATTTAAATAACTTCACTTTGGTTACCATATTTTTCAAAATAATTAACATTAGGTTCGTTCGTTTACTCAATAATTTGTACGAATTTGTACAAATTATTACAAAATGTTGTTCGTTTACCCAAAATTCCAGTAAAAGAGAGTGAATTGAGAGAGCAGATTTGACAGTTGTGTTACTGAGTATTTGCAAATTCTTACAAAGAAAAGAAGAATTTTCTTGTACCATCAGCTGATATTTAATCAGCTGTTTTGTTATGTTTTGTAAACAAACAAAAAATTGTTCTCAAGAAAATTGATTGTTTTGTGAATTTTATTATGATTTTGTATCATTAAATACCAAAATGGATGAAGAAAACGCAAGTATTTAAAAATAAGGTAATACAAGAGTAATTGGCGAACGATTTTTTAGGTTCAAAAACCAAACAAAAAAGTGTGCATCCCTAACATGTCTGGAACACCATCGGTTATGTCCACCCCCATATCAATTGCAGATACAGGAATAACAGGTCGCAACCCTTTAAAATGTTTGTGGGGAACAAACAACATCAATTTTCCGCTTGTTATCCATTTTTCTAATAAAAATGCTGCTTTTTAGTTTGCGCGAATTTGTTTGTTGTTTTAATCAGCTGTGTCGAAACTATATTTTACTGGATGTTGTTCGTTTACTTTTTGCAGTTTTCTCTCTTGAGAAGGAAAAATTCGTATTTACTCTCTGCAAATTCTTACTGAGTAAATATTACTGGGAAAGTAAACGAACGAACCTATTGCTGTTAAGTATTTTTTGGTACATTGCAAAATACTGTTACATTGCAAAATACTGTTACTATTGCTGTTAAGTATGTTAAGTATTGCTGTTAAGTACATTTTCCATAAAATGTGTAGCCCTCTATAGCACAAATTTGACACTAATATTGGAAACTGCGTCTTGTCAAGTCTTTACGATTGTAACGATTGTATGTCTCTGATTTGCTTTGCCTAAACCTCATTCGTAAACAACACGGTTTCCATTTAGTCTCCATCCCACCTATCCCACCTAATTCGTAAACTTTCGGTTATACCATTTTGAGTTCATCTTTATCGGCCATTTTGTCTTCTCCTCCCATTCGTTAGCAGGTGGAACGTTTTTCAATTTTTTCAGTCGTCGTTTTTATTTTAGCTCCGTTCCAAAACCTAAAAGAATCTACTAATTTTACAAGTTTTGCAACTTTTTACTCGAAACCCGTTCCTGAACCCATAAAACTGGTAAAGCATTGAATCAAATTTAAGAGAGCACAAAACAAAATGGCTTTCTCTTTGTAAACTTTTTGTTATGTTGATTTTGAAGTATTGCCATCTAATTTTGGCATATTTACTAGATTTGCATTCCCGAACTTTTCAAATTATTTTGTACTCTGAGACTTGAAATGTTTCCCTTTTACTAGCTTTACTATTAAACAAGTGAAAAAGCGTTAAGTTCGGCCGGGCCGAACTTTGGATACCCTCCACCACAGGTATACTGACAGGTATTTGAAATGAAAAAGTGGACCGATATTTATAATTTTAAATAGAGATATTTGGTACCCAATATGAACCCACTGTACCAAATTTCAGCGAATTCGGTTGAAAATCGCGCTTAAGAACCTCAAAATACCGAAAATTTGGGGTGCCCTTATATGGGGGCTACCAGAAAAAGTGGGCCGATATTTATAATTTTTAGTAGAGATATTTGGTACGCAATATGAACCCAATGTACAAAATTGCAGCGAATTCGGTTGAAAAGCGCGCTCAAGAACCCCAAAATACCGAAATTGGGGGGTACCCTTATATGGGGGATATCCGAAAAAATTGACCTATATTTAAATTTTTTTGTGGAGAGATTTGGTACCTGCTAAGAACTCAAAATACTAAATTACAGCCAATTCGGTGAAAAATACGATAAAAACCCAAAAAATACTGAAAATTAGGAGGTACCGTTATATGGGGGCTACAAGAAAAAGTGGACCTATATTTATAATTTTTTGTGGATACATTTACTACAAATTCGCTTGAAAAACGCGCTCAAGAACCCCAAAATACCGAAAATTGGGGGGTACCCTTATATGGGAGCTATGCCTAAACGTGGACCGATATATCCCATCTTCAAACTTGACCTGCCTGCAGACAAAAGACAACCCTATGCAAAATTTCAGCACCCTATCTCAATTCCTTCAGAAGATAGCGTGATTACAACAGACGGACGGACATGGCTAGATCGTCTTAGAATTTTACCCTGATCAAGAATATATATACTTTATAGGGTCGGAAATGAATATTTCGATGAGTTACAAACGGAATGACAAAATTAATATACCCTCCATACTATGGTGGAGGGTATAAAAAGTACTGGAACAGACCATTTGTTGGCGAAGGTTTGCGTACGACGTCGCTTGATTCTTGGCAGAACGACGATTAACAAGCGAATTTTATGAAGGCTGGAGTCTTGGAGGCTTCCCACTGTTCTTTTGAATCTCTCTCTCTTTTATTATTTTTTTTTTTTCGTTTTTCCATATATAGTTCCTTTGCTCCAAATAGTTCCTTTGCTCCATATATAGTTCCTTTGCTCCAAATAGTACCTTTGCTCCATATAGTTCCTTTGCTCTTTATAGTTCCTTTGCTCCATACAGTTCCTTTGCTTCAAATAGTTCAAAAAAGGAACTGGATCAGAGAAAGGAATTATATTAATTAAAGAACTGGAACTAGTTCCGTTCGTTCCTTTCTCGGAATAGTTCCAATGAACTAGTTCGTTGCGGAACTACCCAACTCTATTGTTTTTGCTTACACGTGCTCAACAAATACAAAATAGAAACAAGCATTTACGAGGCACGGAGATAAATAATAAATTAACAATGGCAAGTTGAAGTTAAATTATATTTTATTCGCTTATAATCCGGAATGTTATTTACAGGTCAAGGTAAACGATTTACCTGGTTTTCCATCTATGGATGGTGGAGGGAATGGCGAAGGTAGTGATCTTCTGAAATCGAAGCCTTCTGCGAAGGCGAAGAAGAGTGGAGGCTTCCAATCGATGGGGCTAAGCTATGAAGTGATAAAAGGCATAACGAAGCGGGGCTACAAAGTCCCTACACCTATTCAACGCAAAACCATTCCATTGATTTTGGAAGGCAGAGATGTGGTTGCCATGGCCAAGACCGGATCCGGTAAAACGGCTTGTTTCCTGATACCTTTATTCGAACGTTTGAAGAGGAGAGATCCGACAAAGGGGGCCAGGGCTTTGATTTTATCACCTACACGTGAATTGGCTGTCCAAACGTACAAATTTATTAAAGAGTTGGGGAAGTTCATGGATTTGAAAACGATTTTGGTTTTGGGCGGTGATTCTATGGATTCACAATTTTCAGCCATACACACGTGTCCAGATGTAATAGTTGCGACGCCTGGAAGATTCCTTCATTTGTGTGTTGAAATGGATTTAAAATTGAGCTCCGTGGGTAGGTTAAATGCACATAAGCAAAATGAATTTAGTTGGGAATTTATGTAGAGTTGATCGATTTGTTTCATTTCAGAATACATTGTTTTTGACGAGGCTGATCGTCTGTTTGAAATGGGATTTGGTGAACAATTAAATGAGACTCTGCACCGCTTGCCCCAGTCCAGACAAATGGTTCTGTTTTCTGCAACTTTACCAAAACTTTTAGTTGATTTTGCCCGAGCTGGCTTAAGCGATCCGGTACTAATACGTTTAGGTATGTCCTGTTGTTCTCAATTGTGAGTAGAATGTTAATTGCTATATATTTTTGTAGATGTGGAATCCAAGCTGCCCGATGCCTTAAGTCTAAAATTTGTGTATTGTCGTTCTGATGACCGGTATACAACATTGGTAACATTGCTAAAATATGTTATACCACAAAATGCACAAACTGTAGTATTCGCCGGCACACAACACCATGTCGAACTAATTTCATTTGTAAGTAAATATCTGAAGTAAAGAACATAATTAAATAGCAAACACATTGAATTAAAATTATTGTGCGACTCAATATGTATTTGTGCAGATTCTTACTGGATGTGGCATAACCAATACCTCTGTGTATTCTAGTTTGGATCCATCGGCTCGTAAAATAAATACTGCAAAATTTGTCAACAAAAAAGTATCAGTACTGATTGTCACTGATGTAGCAGCTCGCGGCATTGATATTCCTAGTTTGGACTATGTCGTAAATTTGCACTTCCCTGGTAAACCCAAACTGTTTGTGCATCGCGTAGGTCGTTGTGCTCGCGCTGGCCGTACTGGCACAGCGTTTTCAATATTTTCCATGGAAGATGCAGCTCATGTTTTGGATTTGCACTTGTTCTTAAATCGCGAATTCAATATTAATGATTCCAAAGCAATTGGTACCGTTCCCCAGGAGTTACTTGAAGAGGAACATCTCACAGTGATGGAAATAAAAAAGAATCATAATATTGTAAGTGAATTCTACTTATTGTTACATACAGCTTATATAATGTCCTGTATTTTTAGAGCGGAGTATTGCGAACAAGTGAAAATGCTTACAAAAAGTATTTGTCTTCGAGGCCAGTGGCATCTACAGACTCAAATGCTCGAGTTAAAAAATTAAAATTCTTTGCCCTAAAACCATTGACGGATTTTATTGAACAGGCCATACCAAAATTAGCAGATGCTGCCCAGTCGACAAGCAAAAAATCTGCCGAAGAAATAGCCGAAGAAGAGCGTAGATTACAAGAACAAAAACACGATTTACTTTTGCAGATGAAAAGCTTTAAGCCTCATAATGTAAGTTTGTTGCTATTCACATTCGTCTTGGTTTTTTTTTATTTTTTTATTACTTTCCTATTCAGACAATATTTGAATTAAATAACAGCCAAAAGTCGGTGCCTTATCAGATTATGAAGGCTAAACGTTCACAACATTCGGAAGTTATCGAAAAATATCGATCTAAAATGGAGGAATTAGACAAAGAGGAAGAGGTCAAACTGGCAGAGAAATCGAAACCACAAAAGGTACATAACATTCACAATCAAAATCATTACATACACATTAATTTGGGTCAAAAGTATTCAGCATACCTATACGATTTATGAATCGAAATTCCGAAATTGGGTAAAACTTCGCTCACCCAAATTCCTTAGAGTGGAATTTAAAAGTAATTAACTGCTAGTATTCAGAAATAAGAGTGAATATATAAAAACTACGGAGTGCAAATTGTGATATGAAGAGCGAAGAATAAGATTAATGACATTGTATCTCATAGGGTATTATAATGCAATTTTGAAAATTTACTTAACGCATTTAGTTACCGTTGGTGGATACTTAACTTTTTATATGTTTAACATACAACACTTTCATCATTTCAATACTTTAATCAAATATATAGTACAATTAAATCAAAAATATCATTTTATATAATCCAATATTACAGGAAAGTAAACAGTCTGAAGATGCCGATGAAGAAGAGATCAATTCAGCGTTCAAAAAAGTGGTTGCACCCAAAAAGCGCAAAAATATGGATGACCTGTACACAGAGAAGCCCAAAAAGAAAAAGAAGTCTAAAACAAATGTAAAGGATTCCGAAAATTTCATACCATATCAGTCTGCCGACAAACACACTGAAGACGGTCTGGCCATTAATAATTTCGAAAGGCAAGCAATGAAAGCTGAATTCTCAGTTATCGATCGTGAAACGAATGAAGTTCGTCATAAGCCTGGCATGAAAAAGTGGGATCGCATAAAGAAGAAAATGGTTGCCGTGCAAGATCCCAGGGCAAACAAGATTCGTACCGAATCTGGTGCTTGGATTCCATCGTCCTTTAAGACTGGCCGTTATACGGAATGGAAGGAGAAAACTAAAATCGAGGAACAACTGGCCAAAGAAGCTGGCAGTGATGATGACACCTTCAAGCCTCTGTCGCACGAACAACGGTACCCTGTCAGCAGACATGCCCGACACAATGCCAAAGTTGAAGCCAAGAAAAGAGCTGGAGTGGGCGTTGACAAAGAGTTGCGTACTCCCGAGCAAATTGTCAAGTCTCGCATGCGCCTTGAGTTTATTAAGAAGCGTAATGCAGAGAATACTGAGCGGAAGGCAGAGAATCGTAAGAGAAGTATGCGCAAGAGCCAGAGACCTGCAATGGCATCCAAAATGAAAAATAAGAAGAAGTGAATACCGAATACTATTAAGATAATATTTCTTGTTTGTATAGAAATTTGAAATAAATTAATAAACAATGTTATTAACAATTTTATTTTTTTTTAATTTACTGGAGTAGTATAAGTTATGTTGTTTTGCGTCACTTAAATGTCCTATTTTTCTTTAATACTGTACATAATAAAATTAAAACGTTTAATCGAATGACAGATTTACTGTGAACCTTGTGCCCCAAGGTTCTGTTTTGGGTGCACTCTTGTACATTAATGACAAGTTGCTCGCCGAGAAAAAACACTTTCTTATTCTCACATTCACATGTATGGAACTACCTTTTTCACATGTTATTCAAAACATATCAAATGTAATTCGAGAATTCCATTTGTAATTCACAACATATAGTTTGCAATTCGAGAATTCCATTTGCAATTCACAACATTTCAGTTGTAATTCGAGAATTTCATTTGTAATTCCTAGAATACCTTTCGAAATTCATAGAATTCCATTTGAAATGCCAAGTATTTGCGTTTGAAATTCATAAAATTACACTTGAAATTAATAAAATTCCATTTGAACTTTAAATAATTCCATTTGAAATTCTTTACATTTGATTTGAAATACATAACATTCCATTTGTTTTTCATAACATTTAATTTTAAATTCAAAAAATTTTATTGGTAACACAAAAGGAATATGTATGAATTTGAAATGAATTGTTATGAATTACAACTGAAATTTTATGAATTACAAGTAAAATCTTATGAATTTCAAATTGGATTCTTCGAATTTCAAGTGGATTTCTTTGAATATCAAATGAAACTCTACGAAATTCAAATTAAAATATTCGAATTACGAATGCAATTTTTTAAATTTCAAATGTAATTTTTTGAATTTCATACGAAAAGTTTAAAATTACAAATGAAATGTTGTGAATTACAAATTACATACTCGAATTACAAGTGAAATGTTATGAATTACAAATTAAGTTTTCGAATTACAAATGAAATTCTCGAATTGCAATTGAAATGTTTTGAATAACATTTGAAAAAGGGTATTGTTCTTGTGGATAAAGTGAAATGTTTGGGCTGCATTATTCTGATGTAGGCTCCACATTGCACCAACTACATTATAAAAATGTTCGTTTATCTTATGATCTAAAAATAATTGAGAAGTTGTGTAATGACATTGCGTTTTGTTAACCCTTTGACGTATCAATTAGCGCAACGAAGTTCGCTTCCAACTGTTAGCACACAACTTGCACTAAGTAAACCGGTTTTGATGCTTAAGAACAGCCGCAAAACGAAACGAAATGTGAATGCATGTAATAAAACTATTTATTTCAAATTAGATGTTATGCACGGCATCAACTAGTTTTATTCTTATTATTATGAGAATCGAGTTAGACTCGTGATAATCAATTTAGGCACAGAAATTGTACAACGAGTGAGACTCGTGATAATCATATTAGGCACAGAAATTGTACCACGAGTCAGACTCGTGGAAATACGTCAAAGGGTTAAGATCGTTATGACCATCTACTTATTGCATATTCTAGGGTTACCATTTTATAAACATGTTAAGCAACATTAATTAAAGATGTTTTATACAATGTCCTATAACATTGCTTGTTCAATTTATACCATGCTCGGGCTTCGATATATTTTTTTCATTTTTAGCCTACGGCAATTTTATTGATTCAAATCATACATCTTAACAGGTTAAACGGCTTAAACCAAACTTACGTCATAACTTAATTCAGCGCCTACTTTACCCTTAACAGTAAGTATCTCAGCTTAGCTGAGGTCTGCAATTTTTTTAAAAACACGCATTTCAAATGTTTACATTGTAAAAAATTGCGGATGCGTCTTTTTTAACATGTGTTCATAACAGAGATGGAAGTTTCCAAGACACTTATCTTTTTTCTGTTTATACAGCGCTTTTTGTGCTAGGCTAAGAACTTTACGAACTGCCCTCGTATACATACTGTTACGTTCTTGGACTTTACTTATTCCCGTGTAGACGTTGTTTTATTTCCCGATACAGTTCGTACCAAATAAAACGCGGGTTCGTTCTGATTACGATTATTACAATGATTTTATTCACACAACTTTACTTTGCACTTTACTTTACACGACGGTTTCAATTCGCGATCTGATTCACAACTGACTCACTGCCTTTCCATTTCCCCTATTTATATGAGCCTTGCTTGTAGCTACAGAAGTTTCTAGACGATCTGGTAACACCTAGATCACGAACAATCTACCAATGCAACAAACACACATACAAACTTACATTGAGTAAACAATAACAACAACACATATACAGGTGAGGGGGTAACAAAGAAAGAGGAATTAAGCGATCATCAATGATGACGTTTAACAAGAATTGTACGTCAACAAATAATAGAGGAAATGGAAGGATGTAGAAAAATCTATACAGTAGTTGTTGTTGTGAAGTTATTCAAATAAACTGCGTAGTAGAAATTTACGTTACAATTCAAATTCTTAAATTAACGGAATTCATCTAAAGTAACTTAAATCTAAATTTATATTCGTAACAATACATATACTGAATTTGGGCTAAATCATTATTAATTAATAAATTATATTTTTAGTAAATTATTTAATAAGTTTATCAATTCATAAGTTGTTTTTTTATTTTCGTACATTGATACATGAATAGTTAAGTATATTGAAAAGGAAAATTTTTGGCCGACCGGTACCGATATCAAACATCAAATAAAGGTTAGGTTAGGTTCTGAGGAAGGGTCGCACCAGAAGTGGAGGTGGAGGCCTAGCATTCCTTATGCACCACTCTGTTCAATACAGGCCTAACTCGCTTGAGCTTGACTCTAGTGTCCCATACATGGAATGTATGGGGGTAGCAGTTAAATGTGGTACTGCCGAGGTAGATGTGCTTAACGTGTATATACCGCCGATTAATAGCTGTGAACCGCGTTATTTGCCCAACATTAGTTTTCTATTGGAGGGCAATAACCGTCTGGTGCTAGGGGACTTCAATGCCCACCATGAGTTGTGGCATTCCGTCCTAGGTAATGACCAGAGGGGAACAGTGCTGGCAGTGCAAATTGATAGCTCCACGTTCTGAACGGTAAATGAGAATGCCCCCACCAGAATAAGGGGAGAGTGTCACAGTTCGCCAGATATAACCATTGTGTCACCGGGTCTGATAAATGACGTCAGCTGGCAGCCCGTCATTTCTCTTAGATCAGACCATCTCCCCATAATCGTCTCCATCAGCAGACCGCCCGATTTCTTCATCTCTGAACGCCGCACTTTCCTTAACCATAGGAAAGCCAACTGGCAGAGTTCAGAGAGTTCACGAACCAGCGCTTCAGAGAACTTTCCATTCCTTCTGATGTACGGGTAGCAGAAAGGAAATTCCGAGGCATCATCACTGCTGCATATGCTAGATTTATACCTGCTGGTCGAATACCCGAGATGAGACCCAATTTCCCAGCAGAAGCAGTTGGTCTGGCAAACGAGCGAGTCTGGCAAACAACAGATCCCAGGGCCAGGGAACTTACGTAGGAGGTCAGCAGATTAGTCGCGGAGCACAAGCGGAATAAATGGTTGGAGCACCTGAAGAGTTGCAACATTGGTACTGGAGTAAGTAAACTGTGGGCAACGGTTAAGTCGCTCTCGAACCCTGGTAAGAAGGTATATATCGTATAAGATCCAGCCGAGGAGGTACCACCACAGTTTACGATGGGTGATGTTGCATGTGTCATCCGTAACGCGAAGTCATCTAAAGGAATATCTATGTGTATGCTGAAGCAGCTGGACGAGCCAGGAGTCGAGTACTTGACCAACGTCCTCAACTTGTCGATAGCCACCCACATCGTCCCCGAAGCCTGGACTATGGGCAGGGTGGTCCCGCTACTGAAGCCGGGCAAGGATGCCAGCAAAGGTGAATCGTACAGGCCGATTTCACTTTTGTCGCCAGTAACGAAGACCCTTGAGGCTTTACTCCTCCCGAGCATTAGAGAAAGCTATCCAGTTGCGGATCATCAACATGGATTCCGTAAGCAACACAGTACAACAACAGCGTTGCATGCCATTTCCACGCATATAAGTAGAGGACTTAACCAGAACCGGCCGTGCGATAGGACAGTGTTGGTAGCGCTTGACCTATCAAAAGCCTTTGATACTGTCAACCATGCCACGCTGTTTGAGGACATAGAGAACACTTCCCTCCGGCCGAGTTTGAAACGTTGGATAATCAACTATATGTGTGGACGCCAATCGTACGTGGAGTTCCGGAACAAGAAGTCCAAACCCCGTAGAGTTAAACAGGGAGTTCCCCAGGATGGAGTGATTTCTCCGGAACTGTTTAACCTCTACCTTTCCGGTATTCCACGCCCTCCGGACGGCATTGAAATCGTTACGTATGCAGATGATTGAACGATTATGGCGTCGGGCCCCATTGTTGAAGACATATGTGTGAGGTTGAACGCCTATCTCATTGATTTAGCAGCATTCTTCAAAGCGAGGAATATGAAAATATCCGCCTTGAAGTCGTCAGCCACACTATTCACCACATGGACTGCGGAGATGAGAATGCCGTTGAATGTGCAGGTCGAGGGAGGATCTGCATGATCTAGATAGAGGTCCAACGATACAAAAAGAAGCCTCTACATCAAGTTGCCTATCGAGCAGGTCTGAATGGCATTCATACAGATGCAGTAGCCGCAGCGCTGAACGGTTACAAAGTGAATGCCGTCCTCGGAGCTCACCCCCCACCCATAGCAGCTGAAGAACGTCAGCTGCCCAGACAAACCAGAGTAGTTTTGGCTCAGTTACGTTCTGGATGGTGCAGTCGGCTCAATTCGTATTGGGCACGGATTGATGAACAGGTGCAGGATGTCTGCCCAGCATGTGGTGCAGGCCCTTATACCACACTGCACTTGTTCAATTGCCCAGCCAAACCTACTCACCTCACTCCGGAAGATCTGTGGTTACATCCAGTGGAGGTAGCTGCATTTCTAAATCTGGAGA